AAGCTGTAAACATACAAAGACTTGAAATGCTACAATCAGTCTGAGAGCATTACAGCCACAGTAAAAAGGAATATATACTTATAGTGAGGGGTGGACTGCAGCATGTACTCAGGTTATAACTGAACCCGACCACATTCATATCCGCTTTACATCAGCCACACCTCCACCTCCCCTCTGCCTGGAGTCCAACATGTAATCTTCTGGGGAGGCTGAAAACCTCTTTTTTCACTCTTAAGTGCTTTGCTGCTGATTAAAGTTTTGAAATGGCACGTTATTACGAGCACAGTTAAGACTCATTACTGTAGTAAATGCAGACTGCGAGCACTTGGAGGTGTTGTCGTCACAACCTGTAATTTCCTTAAAAGATTGCAAATTCCTCGGTGGCTGCGTAACACCGTTTCACCCTCCGTCTGCACCGATTCAACATGCCACATCCCGTCATAAAAAAAAAAAAAAGCCCTTCTCACTCGGTGTACTTTAACTTATTAAGGTTGGTTTCTCCGGCACATTAACATACCCTCGGAGCATTAATGACAAACATCAGCACCGGGCTTTACTGACTTTGGATGAATCAAAATGAGTAATAAACAAAATCCGAACGCTTCCCGCAGCTGAAGGACAAAATGACAAGAAATCATTTCAAAGTTCGACGTGGTCTTAATGTCTCTCTCGGGGTAACAATCCTCTGGCAGGACGGTGCTTATTTATCATGTTCAAATGTTTAAAGGCAGGAAGGCGACCAAAATAAAACATAACGAGTGTATTTTCTGCATGATGGAAACGTGTGATTAACTTTGATACATTCTCTTCTATCTTAATTATTTCAAAAACAGGACACACAGATCTCTGGGATGTGCGCCAGCGGTGGCTCATCCTTCCTGCAAATAAAACATCGCTGCTGCTCCTCGGGAGGTGTCAGAAAGAAGTACAGAGAGAGAGAGAGAGGGAGAATAAAGCATTAGTGGGAAAAGCTGGGAGTTCGTGGCTTTTGGTCTGTCGGGCCCTTGGAGACGGTCTGTGTGACTCCTGGTTATAACGATGCCTTATTAAAAGTCCTCCTCTGCACATTCAACACCACGATCGGGAAAAGTTACTTCAAAAACTTTTCGGGAACTGTTTTCATTTCCATTCAGTCGCAGAGCAGAGCAGAGCTGAGACAGTCTGTAATGTATGCTTTTTGATGGGCACTTTTATCCAGAAATAGCCGGGGGGACAGGAGTGGGAACTAAAAAGTCTAACTCATCAGTGACTGGCTGGTTATCTGGTGTGAAACTTTTCCTGCTTAGCATTAACTGGATGCAGCTGAACTGAGCCAGCAGAGACTCAGAATTACTGCGTTGTGTTTACTGAAGGAAAGATGGATGGGAGGCCTGTTTCTATTTATTGACTCAGCCATGTCTGTGATAAAAACGTCATACTCTGATACATTAGCTCGTCTGTAAACATATTCTCTTCCTCAGGTCGGTTTTGTCCGGTCGTCATGACTACTGCCAACTCAGGGTTCGTTTTCATCTTGGGTGGGGTGGGGAGTAGCAGAGAGAATCACTCCCATGATTCCCCGCCAGCCTCGACATCATCTTTTGTTATTGTTTTGATTGAGAGCCCCCTGGTGGCGGAATCTAAATACTGTGTGTTTAATTCAGCAAACTTGCTAGTGTCAGTAAAAATCAGACGGCCAGATTAAGACCCTGAGTGAAGCCTCATTGTGACTTACTATTTACAGCTCAAATGAGACTCACCAGAAACAGATGAACTGACGCTCCTCTTTGGGATATGATGAAGTGACAGTGTTTACCTTGCTGACATATCTGGAGGGGCGCATTTCACTTCATGTTTGATCTGAACACATGGTCACTTCTCAAGTTGCTGATTGTCTCTTAAACAATGCAGCACGATGAAAAGGAGGTCTTTGCATAAATATTCTCATCAATGAATAGCTGAAAGGGTTTAAAAAAGAAACGTCTCATGCTCAGAGAAAATATTCAGTGTTATTATATTGCAATAAACTATTTCTAAGTGTGTGTAGTCGCCAACAAAAAAAAAACGGATGTGCCTGACATATTTTTAAACAACAACTTTTAACAAGTTGGTTTCCCGTGTTTGAAAGTTCAGCCACAAAAAGCCAGAGAACACGAGAGTTTAATCACTGAGTTTAAGGATTTTAGAGGTCATGTTAGTTCACAGGCTCGCACAGTGACAGTCAACTATAATTGGTCCCTTGCCAGCAGATTAATATGCATTCCCTCTCTATTAAAATTGCCTTTTTTTTTCAGTGACGCTCCAGAGAGTTAATTAAAGCGATGCCATTTTGAAGGGCCAAGGATTCAGGGATAAAGCTAGCCCGATCTGAGAGGTCGATGAATATCTGCTCTGTCCTTATGTTGACGCACTTAACCTTCTCTGACGAGCATTTACTCTGCAGATGTTACGAAACCAAAACCTATAAATGTTGCGCAGGAGTAGCGAAGGCTGATGTGTGCGTTATGTTGAAGTGAAGGCCAGCTGAATGATGACCCTTTCATTCAACTGTGAGCGTACATCACGTACAACACTTGCATGCAAACAGCGGCTGTGTGTTTGTACTTCTAACAACAAGGACAAGAGGTCAGAGGTTGATCTGAAATGATAGAAGAAGTGCAGCCGAGTGCAGACGCAGGAATCAAGAGAATATGAGGCAGAAAAAAAAAGGAAGATGGAGAGCAGGTTCTTTAAAGATTCTCAGGAGAACGTGTGAAAGTGGCTTTATTCAAATATGTATGCTCTGCAATCTCAACCTTACTTTGCTGGCAACATTTCTCTTTGTAATATTATATCAGAAAAGAGTCTCAAAGTGTCTCCAGAAAAGGGAAAAACATGCTTTGGTTTAGTACTTAGCAGAGACTTAACTGCAGAAAGTTCTCGAACATCACCGAACCCGACTGAAGCGAGGCGCTTAAAGAGAGACTGAGCCCGTGTCCGTGATTTGACCTCCCTTTAAGCTAATCTGCTGTAAACGGCGGGCCCACAGATGGCCGATTCTTCCCACCTTGATGAATCATTAAGGAAGGATTTGGGCTTTAAAAGCAAACAAACAGTATTTGTGCTTTTAGCTGTTACCAAATTACCCTCTGGGATTAAAAAAGTATTTCTGATTCTGTGAGCCATCAGGCAGGGATGGCAGTGAGGGATAACTCAGCGGTTCATTCCCCTCAGCTGCAGCCTCTCTGGGGGGAAAAAGCAGAAAAGTCGGAGGAGAAATAGCCTTAAAGGAGATGGTGGAGGTGAGTTAATCTCCCTGGCCAGTACTTTCAATAACTGCATGTCAAATCCTGGCTGTCCTCACCGTTTTCTTCAATTTCTTTTTTCTGCATATCTTTAAATCTTCCCCTCATGTCGAGTCTAAGGGCTGATATCTCATCTCAGGCCGGGTTGTAACTCCTGCTTGAGCGGCACAAATGCAGCTCTGGTGATGTACTGCTCCCTCAAGAACAGCCAGCGCAGTAGCTCAGTCCCCCTCTGAAGAAAGAGAAGTACAAGACCAGGACAGAAACAAAAAACCTGACCTGGAGTTGGGATCCATTTCAGCTGCCAGAAACAAGATTCACCTCAGCAGCAGAAAAGGAGCGACACAGTAGTGACTCGGGGTTCTCATAAATCAGCAACTAAAGAGAGCCCTCATGTCAAAAGGCAGCAAAGAAAGGGGCTGGCTGGTTTGCCTTCTTTTTTCCTGTTTTGTTTTCTTTCATTCTTGAAACATGGCTTCCACAACGTCAGTTCACAGCTCCCGGGTAACCAACACCGAGCCCTGGATTGTTTGAAACTTTACGTCAGGACACAGCGAGACTTTAAGCAGCCAAAGAAACTCTTAGAATAAAACGTTTTGCACACCCAGCAATTACTCAGGATCACAGTTAAATTTATTTTACAGATCTAAACGGGGACTTAGCAGCACAACGAGCAAACACATTAACATCGGGCCTCATTCACAAACTTCAGAAGAAATGTGCTCTTAAAACCAGTTTACGCTGTTTTCTCATCTATTTTCTCTTTGCTCAGCACAAATTCTAACAGAGCACTTTTACACAATATAAGTGCTGATAAGAGAGTGTTTTTATTCATTTGGCACCTTTTATAATTTAAATAACAACTTTAAATACATGATTGAAATATGGTCAACTTTAATTTCAATCATGAAACTTTTGATCTTAACTTCAAAATATTGTAGCACTTAGCTAAGAATTGTTTAAAGGTCCAATCAGTGAGCTGTGTAGTGAGCGAAATGATAAAGTGTTCTTAATATATGATCATTAAGGAAACATGCTATGTTGAAGTGCTGGCTTCTCTGACAACAATGCAGCAGCCAGTATGTCCTCCTTCTAACTTTAGATTCTGCTCCTGAATGCTCTGGATTTGTTTGGACCAGAGAAGGTAGGTGGTTTTAAGACACGCCCACATGGCCGTTTTGGACACCCCTCGGTTTTCCAGATATGAGAGCAGTTATCAGGTCAAACCAACAGGTGTTGCAGTGATGGAAGCGGGCAAGAGAAGTGGTTCAGATAGAAGTGATTGTACCCGACCTAAAAAGCCTCTGCATGTTTCTAATAAGCTCCACGAGCAGAAACGTGCTCAAACTAGGATCAATATTGGAGATGCTTTTGAAAAATGGAGAGAGGTTAGAACACAGAAAGGTTTACAGACCCATGCAGAGCTGGATAAACACTGAAGCTTCAGTGTCCACCACATGGTGACCTGTGTGAGCATTGGAGACGGCTCTCTACAATGTTTTGAATTAGGACTGCAGTACCAACTTTAACACTAGGTATCAGAGTTACATGTTGCTCCTTTAATAAATCACTCATTACAATAAAAACCTTCCTTCACACACATATTTAAATGACAACTCTGTGACATATTCCATCATTTTACAAGGTTTGCATAGTAGCATAGTTGTTAGTTTGGCCACTGATATATAAATCCGCTTGTAACAATAATCCACCTGTTTGAAAAGATGATGGACTCACCTTTGGATGAGGAGAAAGACCCATACAAATATCAGGACAGGTTGTCATTTATCACGTCTGTGATGCCAAACCTGAAAAACAACAGAGACAGAAGACAGTTCAGACTTCTGAGTAATTCTTCTCAAAACAGCGAGACTTCAAAGGTCCCACAACCTGGGATCTCTTTTAATCGGTTTTATATAACCTTGAATATCAGCAGGTTTCTTTTATTTTAAACTTTTTGTAAAAAATTAAAGTGTTGAAAAATGATAATTTGAAATAAACACAAGGTATATGTATCCTAATGAAATGATAAGCGCTCAGTGGAGACACCCTTCCTCCCAATGATGCCCCCTATGCCCTACTGATACAGTACATAACCTACCCTTGGTTATGTAATGTATGGCCCTTAGTCGTCACCGCAACCAAGACAGCATTGCCACCTTCGACAGACTCAGGCTATGTTAAGGCGAGATCCAGGTAGTGACAATGTCGTTACTCCCTAACCTACCACATGCTTCCTCTTGGCCCCCACAACTCAACCATATAAGCTAATGGACACCAAGAGGCTTGACATCGTTGGGTTGTCATTTCGTCCGATTAGTCCCTCAACACCTCAGGAAGGCCTAAACGTCCTAAACATAATAACATTTAAAGTAATGCAAAGTGTTAACTTAATGCATGATATGAGAGTTGTTTTCATAGAATGTAAGTATGAATGGATAAGCCTGAGTGACGTCACCCATGTGTTACTGCAGGGGGCTCCGGAGTCCCATCGATGGCCTACAGCAAAAAGTAACGGAGACGTGTCTGTCAACAGACTGTTGTCATAGCGACAGGAGGGACGTGCTGCGCTTTTCTTCTCAGGGGAACAAACGCTTCAGCCAAGTACTACCAAGCACACAAGTGCTTTTCTGCTCGGAAAAAACACTAGGTGGACACGGGGCCTAATACATTGATTTAAGAATTTGCTACTGTTGCTGCCACACCTCATTCTAAAGTGATACTACACCCAAAGCCTGGAGGTTAAAGTCTGGAGGCGGGGTCATGTTTGCAAATGAGTGAGCCTGGAAATGCATTTTTACCCTTGAGTGTGTGACATACTGTATATGTCTACAACATTTGGACACTTTTTTCCCCACTTTATCTCAAATCAACGTCATGACACTACGACGGAGGATTAGGGCCACGTTAAAAATTTTTTAAAAAAAATTTTTCGAGATTAAAGTCGTAAATTTACGAGATTAAAGTCGTAAAAACCAGCCTGCGCGAAAATGATGAAAGTAGATCTCTTAAAGTCTTTAAAGAATAAAGTCGTTATTTTAGTCTATATGAGAAGAGCAGCAGCATCCTGTTCTCAAATGACAAACATGGAGCATCTTGTCCTAAAGGTTTCACTAATAAGGAAATAGGATACTTCCTTGTGTAGTCGGTTAGGGTTAGGGTCAAGAGAAGTTTCACTTCAACTTGTAAGAACTTGTTTATCTGTAAAATGATGAACAGAACACAAACTGTCTCTGCACACGAGACACTTTAACAAGGCAGACCGATAACAGACACTAATAGTTGTGTTGGAGCTTTACTTATGCAGATATGAAACTACACATGCTTTTGGCACATCATCATCTTTACATTGTCATAAAATATCAGCACCCTGAAAAGATACTGCAAGAAACTGAAGAAAGAACCACACTGACTTGGAGGAAGTTGTGTCTGAAGATGAAAAGACTTTAAGAGTTCTACTTTCATAATTTTGCGCAGGCTGGTCTCGAACCCGTTAATTTACAACTTTAATCTAGTAAATTTACGACTTTAATCTAGAAATTAAAAAAAATAATAATTTAACGTGGCCCTAATCCTCCGTCGTATGACACTGAAAAGAGAGAGGTATTATTTTTCCTTTTGGCTCATGGAAGATTTCACTGTACGTTTAACAAACTGACATCCTGAAGTGAAAACCCTCGACACAGTTCTCTGGACATGTTCATCTCTACTGACAAGCTGCAGACGAAGAAGACGGTTGACAGAAGTGACCTGTGGCTGTCAGATTTGTAAAGTGAAGACCCACACTGATTTTCCCACCACCTCTACTCTGAGGAGGAAATATCCTGGAGAAGCCTTCTAGTAATATAAAAATACACAACATGCACAGGATCAGTCAACAACAGAGCAGGATCAGAATAAAAGCTGTGAATGCTACATGAGGACAGCAGCATGAGGTGTGGAGGATCATGTCCTGTCTGGTCGGGGGGGGGGGACCACCACAAGATACTGACAGAGAGAGAACAGGACCTCCAGCTGAGTACCTCACATACCCCTCCATCCCTCCTCTCTGGGCTCTTTGATTCAATCTGTCGCTCACTCTTAAATCTGTGTTAGCGGAGCAGCTAGCATGTGAAAGGTTACGATCAGAGAGGATCTGGGGACAGCAGATGGTGCAGACAAACAATGAGATATTATACTGCTGCTGAACACACCTGACCTGCCTCAGAGTGGATTATGTACGAGGTACCCATCAGATTTCAGGGACAGGAGGAGGCAGAGAGACCAATCAATTAGTCTCTCCTGTGAGTTCACATTATT